GGCCAGCTTAAAGTTGTAGTGGGGGGTCAGAGCCAGGAAATCCAGAGGGAAGAGCTCTTTATTGAAAAGTAGTGGGGTAATACAACTCACCGGTGCAACTTCATAACTAAACTCAGATTTTGATGAGTTAACCTTTTTAAAAGAGCAAAATGTAAAGCGGAACTAGATGAACCTATTTAGCTGTGTCCCAGGACAGTTACTTTCAATGCACGTCAACTCAGGGTTTCCATGTGCTTTCTTCAGCTTTCAACTGACCTGTGAAGCCCTCAAATGGCTGGTGTCCAAGATCACATGTGCAGCATGGGCGCAGATCCACTTTAACTGCAAATGCTAGCCCAAAAACATCGTTCCTGTGCTAAGAATAATAGGGCTACTTAAAGTGGATCTGAAATCAAAAAGTAAAGATTTGCTATGTTGTTGGGAAAATTTAGAAATTGTAAATAGCAGTACCCAGAAAAATGCACCTTTTTTTTGTTTTGTTTTGAATTGGTCATGAACAGTAGCAGCATACTTCCTGGTATGCGAGGGTGCCTGGGCAGTCCTGTGTCTACAACTCTGTAGTTGTAAATCTGCAGTGTAAGGGCTAAATGCATTGCTGTCTTGGATTAAGGTTGAAGATGCCTAGCTGAAGGTTAGAGCCACTGTGTAGTCTGTTTCCTGAGTTGATTCCTGAGTTGATTCTAATAAATAGTTCTTATGTTTGATTTGGAGTATACAGTATAGTTTAATAAAGTTGAAGAGCAGAAGATTGACAAAATATGCAATATATTGTCCTTTTACATGCCCTTGCTTTAAATACAGTAAGTGCAAATACATTATAGTAACACATTTTTGTACCTTCTGCCATCTGCTCAAGTCCACTGTATGTAACTCAACTTCCCTGAGAACCAAAAAAAAGGGGTTGCCATCCTATGAGTCATGGGTACCTTCTGGGGAGAGTTTCAGCAGCCCAGCATCCCTATTGTATCTTGTTGATGGTGTTTCATATTGATGACTTTGTGTGCAAAGCACTATCTAGTGGTTAAAGGGAAGATATGTGTCTCTAGGGAACTAACAGATGCCAGGTTTGATCTGTTTTGTATGCGGGCCCATTCACACATTGATGTTCTTGTGCATTGATGCACCTGTGTTGTCACATTGTTACCGTATGTTGCGCTAAGACTAGGGCTGCAACAACTAATCGACATAATCGATTTTGAAAATAATCGTTAGCTGCAGCTTTAGCTAAGACATTCCGGATTTAAAAAAAAAAGTGGTGGGCGGCATGCAGCATTTTTTCAGACGCAGCACACCACAACACCTGATGGTGCTGAAGCATATGTGCATTGGTGCTACATTGCCCTAGTGCTTTGGGGTCTTGTGTAAAATGAATGGCATCCCATTGAGCTAGCACACCTCACCCAGAAGCACTGGAAGCTGAAGCAAGCTTTCTTTTTTTTTTTTTCTTTCTTTCTTTTTTTTCAGAATTGCTAACTGTCAGTACTTTATGGAAGGTCCACTTCAGGGCAGGTTCACACCATTTTCCAGACCAGATCTGGTCCGGAAAATGGTGTGACCCTGCCCGCAGTTCCAGTGCATTCCAGACCAGACCAAATGATACATGCAGTATTTTTCTGGTCTGCTCTGGAAGGGACTGCACTGGTGTGAACAGAGGCCAGAAATAGCATAGGGATGCATTAGGATGCATTTTGGGTCCGGAAAACAATCTGTTCTGGTCTGGAGATGATGTGGTGTGAATTGGCAATTAAGCATTCAGAAACTATTTTTGTGACATACCAGGCACATGTTTTCTTATCAACCACTTTCAAACAGCTGGGTTGTTCCTAAATGAGTCTTATCCCAGTAATGAGAACTGGACATGAAGAAATTCTGTTCAGCTGCTATTCTGTTGCAGAGTGAAATGATCTGATTGGCTATGGCCAACACAGACACTTTCTTTTCCCCCATTCTGTATATACATGAGGTCCATTGTCTCGATGTTTTTATTGGATGCTTTCTTGTTTTCATTAGCTCAAGCCAAAGATGGCTGCCTCTGCTGGTGACAGGTCATGTTTAATCAGCCTTCTCCCATCTCTAGTCACATCTCTCAACCGGCATTGCTGCCCCTCTTCTCCTGCCAGCAAGGAAAACCAGAGGAATTTAAATTGTCATTACTGCGCTGCTTGCCAACTCTGACCACTATAGAATGAAAGGGGGTCAGTTTGCACATTTCTCCCACAGCTGAAATGTTGTCTAGGTTGGCAGGGCTGAACATATCCCTGTTTTGTCAACTTATTTTCCTGTCTGTCCCTGCGCTGTGGAAAGATTCCCTGAACAGATGAAGCTTTGTGACACATTTCTCACATCACCAGTGTTACTGCTTCTTCTTGGTGTTGGACTTTCAGGGCTCATAAAATGGTGTTTTTTTTTATGTTAGCGTGTCTATTCGAGCACTGGGGTGCCTGAATCTTTTGCATCTACTACTACTTGCAACACTGACATTTAGCATAAAAGGAGAATTGACTTTGTGGGGAAAAGCATAATGAGCAGAGTCCTAGAGGATTTCTTTCCAGCATCTTACAAACTGCACAAATATATTCCAAAATTCTAAACATAAAACTATCAGATTTATATAATGCTTATTAATTGTTCTTTAAGGGATACAGGAACAGTTGAATTCAGGAACATTGGATTATACTACCTTCTTTAGAAGGAATTGGATGCTGGCAGGCAAAAAAGCCATTGGCCATCCAAGTGTAACCCCTCTTACTCCCACAATGTGTCAGATTTATGCTAGTGTCCTACGAATATGGACATCCTTTCTCTTCAGAGGAAAGCAAACCTATTTTTATCACATTTTTACTTTTATGAAGACTATTTTTTTCTTGAATCAAGACTTTTCGTTAGCTGCTAAGCTGGGACTTGTTATGTAATTATTCAGATGAGCTAATCTTCAGCACCGCCTTGGAGGCCGTACCTGTACACTGCCAGAGACTAAAGCTTGTGGAGTTAGTCTGTAATGTGACCTTCAGCCACTCTGCTCTGCTTGGGCTCCCCAGCATAGGTGTTTGTATGCTGCGGAGTGCTTTACAGGTCTAGGGTCATGTCTCCTGATCCCTGAAGGAGCCTAGGGAGTATGCCCACATTAGGGGTGAAGTATGTCTGGAATGTGATCTGTTCACTAGGTTATGCATATGGCCATCAAGTACTTGGCTACTGCGCTTGTTAGAACGCTCTCCAGGCCTGCGACAGCGGGGTTTACCCCCTGTATGAGCTTCCCCTTATGTTAAACACTAATACAAATATTGAAACCGAAAAAGGGAAATGATCAATTATAGCATACAGAGAGGCTGGGCAGCAGTGTTTTATTGAAGATTATTAAAGAGACCACAATCTGATTCTTAATACCTCCTTCAGATGGTAATACTTCTTCAGATGTATAATATGTTGCAATTTAAATTATTGTAAATGTTTAAAAAAAAAAGGAAGTGCATTCCTGGGGGAAAACAACATGTAGTACGTTTTTGCAATAATTGTATACTTATGTTGAATTCATTTTTTTTTTAAAGTTGCAAAACATAGTGATCCTGCCAGAAGTCCAGTGTGCTTCTACCTTCCTATTGCTCACAGTCAACAATGACCCTGATGCATAGCAATTCTAAGCAGTGTTCTTAGCCCTGTCCAAGTTCTCCTCAGCTGTACTACAGTACTCCTCGCCCCTATCTACATACATGCATAGCATTTCTTTCCCAGCCAAACAATGCTGCTGGTTAAAAAGGGCTCTAGGGAGATGTAGAACTAGGGTTGGCATGCCTATATGAACAGGAACTGATGTAGGGCACCCTGCTGATCCCACGCCTGGTGATGACATCACAGGAAGTAATAAAAGCCATTTCCTGCTAAAAGTATTGGCTGTCTTTATATGCTACTACTAATAAAAAAAAATTAAAGCTGAACTCCAAATCCCAAAAGCATTAATGCAAATATATGTCTCAAAAGCTACAAATGACCTAAATCCACTTTGTAAGCACCAGATACCTTTTCACACCCAGATATTACCTTACGGCAACATCATCACTGTGCTGCACATAGCCTGTACAAAGAGCAGTGCTGTGTGAGGGACCCAGCGGAGGTGGGTGCCACTACAGGGGATGGGTGCAGGTACATGACCAGTCAATGTGCACAAGGTAGGCGAGCAGCAGGACTGACAGGTTTGTGTTACGGGAATTTCCTGCATAGAGGCAAAGTTTACAGATCTGTAAGCAATACTCAAAAGGATACCAAGATCTAAAATCACTGACTATGTTTTTAGGGGGACAAACCTCTGTAAGAAATAATCATAAGAAAAAATGCATCTCTAAGCCTGATGAAGGGGGCCCTGCGAGACCCCGAAAGCGCTTGCCAATGAGATACAGCTATTGGCAATAAAATATTTTGCTTTTTCAACTTATGGTGTGCTGGTGACATTTTTCTATTTAACATAAGGGAAACACGGTTAATGGGTTCACAGCACATTAAGCCAATAGTTAGACCGAAAGCAGTACATACAAAATGAATGCAATATCATAGCCTAATGCTTAGAATTTTAAGAGCAAGAGGGCATCTTGCCTGTAACCAATATACTAGGTAGTAACATGTGCAGCAGCAACAAGAGTAACAGGTTTACGCCCCTTAGGGGAGAACCCAGGGTAGGAAGTTAGAACCAAACAGATAAGGGAGAAAGATAGAACGGTAATAGTATCCCTCATACTAATGGTGGTGGTAGTGGGTCCCACCTCATATCAACATTCATTACTTTGAGCAGCAACAGAAGCTGTCCATCCTCCTACTTGCACCAGAACCGTCCGATCATTTCCCTTTTTAACGCATTGATTATCGTTAAAATCACATAATATTTTACTTACGTTCTCTTGTCTCAATATGGACTGTTTATTGGTATCCCAAATCTTGGCTTGCTAATAATAAAGTATGGTTTTGCAGGTGGCATACTGTATGGTTAATTTATTTCGGTTTTGTTTCAGGTGACCTATCTGGGAAAAGTATCTGCAACTGGAGTCCAGTTTTCATCAGGATGCACAGAGCAGCCAGTGATTGAGTTGTGGAAAAAGCACACTTTGCCCAGAGAAGATGTGTTCCCCTCCAACGCCATCCTTGAAATCCGTCCTTTCCAGGTGCGACTTCATCACCAAGATACCAAGGGTGAAGCTACTGTTCATATGGATACATTCCAGGTGGCCAGAATCGCTTACTGCACGGCAGATCACAACGTCAGCCCCAACATCTTTGCCTGGGTTTACCGAGAAATCAATGATGATCTGACCTACCAAATGGATTGCCACGCAGTGGAGTGTGAGAGCAAGTTAGAGGCCAAAAAGCTGGCACACGCCATGATGGTGGCTTTCGAAAAAACCTTCCACAGTATGAAGAGTGATGGGCGAATCCACAAGGACAGCTCCTCAGAAGAGACGTCTCAGGAATTCGAATCGGATGATGGCTGAACGGATTTGGTCCTGTTCCTGGATTTAGGCATCTACAGTCTGGAGCAGCAGCAGCTGGTAAGAGGTCTGTATTGGGAATGGGACCACGAGACATTAGCTGGACCGCTTTCTGCAGAAAACTGCAGTATCTACGGAGCTGCATATACATGAAGTGTCTGTTACAATGCTGCTTTCCCAAAAATGTGACAACACTTTTTTTCCTTAACCTCCTCCGGTCGGAGCCTGATGGTTATAAATATTGATATGGTCGAACGATGACGCCAGTTGCCTTGGAAACGCATTGATCCATTTCAGAACGAAAGGATTGCTGTTTTTGACAGAAGGGAAATGCTGGATGAATAGAATTGGACCAAGGCCCCCTTTTTCAGAGTAAAAGAAGAATTTTTCTTTTTATTAAGCATTTCAGAAGCATATTTTTATTCACACAGCATATGAATTGTATATTTTTATTTTACCATTGTATTATATTATAAAAATCTTAACATGCAACCACTTATCTACCTTGTCATTATAGTGTAGCCCCCTCTAGTTTGGATTCTGCAGGTTCAGTTTGAGATGGGGTGTTTCTGACTTCATATTAAAGCCTAATAATGAGTTTTGTTTACTGTTGTGCCTCAGACAGACTTCTCTGGTTTAGATATCCTTGTTCACAATATCCAAAGGCATTTATCCCATGTAATTAGCACTTTACAGATGCAGCCTCTGTTTGGTACACAAAGATACCTGCATAGAAAGAAAGGTCGTGATTGTAAGTGGAACTCATTGCTAGTAGTAGCTATCAATACAGGGGGCAAGTATGTGACATATTTAGTTGCTCGATGATTGAGAAGTGAGCGACGGTATGTATTCGCTCACTTCCCCATCTATTGAGCCGACGTGTGACCGTTTCATTGTCACACGTCGGCTCAAACTATGAGGTTGAGTGAAAATCACCTCATAGTTCTCCTTTTTTAAAATTAAATGTAGTAGTTTCAGTGACTAACAGCAGTTGAAAAATGTTAACAAAGGATCCCCAGAGCACTATTGGTGCTTTCAGCCAGATTGTCTCTGAAACCTGGAACAATAAGAAAGGAGGAGCCGATGCTCTCACTCACTTTGTACATTTCAGCTTCAACTATTGAGCTCTATAAACTAGTCTATGAACTTGTCTTTTGACAACAGGCAGGAAGGAGAAAGTGCAAAACATAAAAAGGTCCGCCTGCTAGCTGGATATAAGAATATAAAAATCACATGTAATACTTCATATATACCTGATAACCTCTCTCTCTCTCACACTCCCTCTCTCACTCGTATATCCCTTTTTTTTTTTCTTCAGGAAAAAAAATATACATGTAAAAGACAATACGTAATGCATTTAGAGTTTGGAGAGTCGTCATTTGCAAGCTTGTTTCCTGCAGAGTTTCTGTTACATAAAAATTCTGACATGTTGTTTTCTTTACACAAAGGTCACCAGTCTAATAATGTGCATCAGGACTTGAAGTGAATCTTTACTTTTGTGGCCGTAATGCGCCACAAAAGTAATTCCCCCCTTTATATTTGTTCCATGTTCCCATTTACATAGCAGAGCTTGAGGAAAAAAAAAACAATTTACTGCCTGCCTTCTTACTGAAATATTTGACTTGTCTTTGCCATGTTATACAATGTTGAGGAGAGGGGTTGGGGAATTATGTTGGCCGTAATTAATCCTGTGCTGTCAGATTTTCGGTTGTGAGGTAGATGTTCAGCACTGATTATAACAAATGGTTAAAGATCCCAAGGCTTGGATGGTACATTGTATGGAATGCACTTTAAAAACCCCCACTTTGTTTCTGATCTGCACATGACCATCTATTCACAGCAAAAGAAGCTGCCTGTAATGCCCTTTGTATAAGGCCTTGTTCACACCAAATGCAGACCAGATCCGGTCAGGTTTCTGCACCTGCAGTGTAGTGGGCTGGGCTGCGTTTTAGACGCGTTTTTGATGCGTTAAGGGCCAGTTTTGGTTAAAAAAACCGCACTTGCATGCGTTTTTGCGTTTTAGATGCGTTCCAGACCAGATCCAGAGCAGGTAAAATAGGGTTTGCCGCATTTTTTTAATCCGGTCTGGATCTGGTCTGGATCCGCACGCTGCGATGTGAACTGCAGGTCAAAATACCATAGGAATACATTGGACGCAGTTTTGATCCGGTCTGCACCTGCTCTGGTCTGGATCTGCTCCACGCTTGGTGTGAACAAACCTGCCCCAAAGAAGCAACTAGGAAATGAAGAAATATTTTTTAAAGAACTCCAGACAAAACTTTTAGTAACCCTTGCAGTGGCGCTTGCTGCAGTGTGGGAGACCGGAGAAGCAGGGAGCCGGCTCTGCAGTTGGGTGAGTAAAGTGTAGCCCCACTTCAAGGGTTATTAAAAGTTTTTTGCTCAGAGTTCTTTAAGTATTTTTAGTTATGCTATGTGAATGGGAACACCTAAACCTATAGCTGAGTTTTTCTCAAATTTGACTGCAAAGGTTGAAATCCACTTCATGACCCTTCTTGCTATCAGATCTTTTATACCTTTTTATATTGGACTTAACTTTGATCATTCCCCTGTGACATCAAATTGTAATTTAAAAAAATAAATAACACGTTTTGTAGAGCATATTCAAGTTTTTTCAGCTTTTTGTAGCAAATACGTTTCTTATTTAATCAGGCTGCTCATTGGTAAAGCTGGCAATGAAAGAAATCAGTAGTCTTGTCTTAAAGCTCAAGATGACTACAGAGATTTAGCCCAGAATTTAAGATATACATTTGCAGCCAAAATGCTGTTTTTGGATGTCTGTGTGTTCCTTACACCAGTGTTGTCCTGCGGTAGTTAGAGGATGTGTAGGAGTATTTACACATTCACAACAAGCAGTGAGCTTTAAAGCGAGCCTTGTCTAACCTTTGTAGCTACATCCACTGTGGAGTAGTTCATTATTAAGGCCACAGCTGAAGCAATGGAATCATTCTCTAATCAGCTCCCAGCAGTGACTGCGATCCAATTTTTCTTACATAAACACAGCAGGTGAACTTGGAGGGGGAGGCAATAGGCCCCTGAGCTGCTGAGAGAAGACTTTGAAGGAATTTAGTGCTTCTGCTGTGAATCATTGAGGCTGAATTGCTTCACAGTGTCTGCAGTTACAGGAGGGCCTGTTTAAAAAGCAGAACTCTGGGCCGAATTTTTATTAACCCTTACAGTGGGGCTACCCCTGTACTGCAAGGGTTAACTGCTTGTTTTTGTCTACCGTATATACTCGAGTATAAGCCGTCCCGAATATAAGCCGAGGTATTAGCTGGGAAATGAGGCAGCTAATGGTAGATAGATACCAATAAAATTACATTAATATTTATTTAAAAGAAAAATAACCTAGCTCTGCAAGTGGAAAAGGGGGTACAGGGCTACATATCATGTACTACGGATCATTTAACCCATTCATATTAGCAGAGGATAATTGTAAATCTAAAAACAAAAAAAAAGCTAGACTCACCTGATGCTCCAAATCGGCATGCTCTTAGAACGCTGTGACGGAGAGCCTCTCACCCTCCGTCACAGCGTTCTAAGGTCCCGAATATCATCACGTTCTATACATCGTGTATAGAGAAACATTTAAATGTTGCTGCGTAGTAGGGGAGGGGCTTCAGGCTGCAGCCGGCGTGGTTGTTTAGATGAGTATAACTTTATTAGCACCTAGACAAAAACAAGCACTTAACCCTTGCATAGGGACGACCCCCTGCACTGCAGTGGTTAAGAGCACTTTTGCAGGGAGTTCTTCTTTAAAGCTCATTTACTGCTGCATATAATATTTGAATGTGTGAAGTGAAAGCAGGTGAACACTTTGTCAGAGACAAAACCAATATTTTCCATCTTGCATGTTTTTCATTTAAAAGGAAGATGTGCATGTCGGTGATTTTCTGGGATTTGGCAGTAGGGATTTGATAGTCGGTCTCACGTACTATAAGGAAGTTATGTTTTGCAATTTGAATTGCACACATTGGATGATATAGTTTTATTTTTTTATTGGCTCCCACATGAAGGTCACATACTGGAACAGATGGTGTAAAATTGTGTACATAGACCTTTTATGAGATTTTGCATAATATGTATGTTAATAGCTACAAAAAGGTACTTTTTGGAGTCACTGTGAATGGACCTGTTTTCTGAAATTTCAAATCATGTTTGTGTTTATAATGTCAGGGACATCTTCCCTTAGGAAGACTGTCACATTGGCTGTCACCTGTCACGTCAGAAGTCCCCATCCAGGACTGGAGGCAACCATTGCTTGGCTCCAAGAAGTGTTACTAATTTGGGGACAGAGCAGACCTGAGCTGTTACACATAGTACATGGCCTGGCAACCATTGTGACAGGTTCATGGCCATCATGACGGGCTCTGTATAAAACAAGAAAAGCTATTTTTGTTTGTCAGTTGTGTTGCTTTTTCATATTAAAGAAATGTATTATTTACAACGTTAAATACAAACTTATTTACGAAAGCTGTTTGAATTGTGACTTTTTTCCCGTCATTTGCACGTAATAGATTCTTCATATTCAAAAAAGCATTTTTTTTTCCAAGTCCATACGTTTTTGTTTTGTTTTTGTAACATCAGCAGCTTACATTATACAAGTAGTCACAGAATCCATGACACAAAAATACATAGCTGATCATGACTAAATATTCTTTCGTTATGAAGTATCCGGGTTTCACTGGTGACCACCTGAGAGCTGGATTGCTTATGTCGGTAGCATAATAAATGGGATTCTCCAGGGCTTGGTGGAGGAAGAGGAGCAAAAGTGGAACCCATGGTGCTTTTAAAATGGTTTAAAGCTGGAGTAGGCAAACTCCAGCTGTGATGCAACTACAAATCCCATGAGGCATTGCAAGATTAACAGCCACGGGCATGATTCCCTGATGCAGAGGATAGGATCTGATAGAAACAATTCATTTATAGGTCCGAGTACGGCGGCATGACAAAGAGAGTGAAATCAAGGCTCCGCATAGCATTCAACACCAACTGACAATGTGGATTCTGGTTCCAGCTGTGATGGATGAAGGAATGGCAGGGGAGCGCAAGCAGGGTGAGTATCAGTGGGTCTGGTAGCCCCTATACATAGACACTGTCACTTTGCCTTGAATAGAGGTAACAGT